GGTGGGGTTTGCACCAACGCCTGAAGGATGAGGACCCTTCGGGCCGTCAAGGGAGCACTCTCCAGGGGCGGGTCTGGCAGAGCAGAGGCTCCGAGGCGGGAGTGAGCAGCACACTCAAGGCACAGACCCGTGAGCCGCGTGGCTGGAGTGCGGTGCCTGGGAGAAAGCGAGCAGGAGAGTGGGGAGGGGCCTGGGACTCCTCCGCGTAAGCCCAGCGGGGCCTGGGCCTTTCTGCGGTCAGGCCGCCTTCTCTTCCCTGGAACCTGGAGCTGGGACCAGCCACAGGGAAGCAGCCTCCAGCTGGCAGTCTCCCCCAGCGGGGCGGGGACCGCCTCCTGTGCCAGAGAGGAGGCCTGGCGGGATCCCGGCGCAGGGAGGAGGGGGAGAGGGAAGCAGGACCGGGCGCTCCGTCCCTGACCCTACTTGTGAGTTACAGCAGGGGGCTGATCGCGCCTCTAAAATCGCTCCCCCTCTGGGGCCGGAGCGTTGATGCCGACAGCCCCAGACGCTGGCAGAGGGACACCTTGGGAAAACCCATGTTAGGTGACGTCAGTGTGTCTGTCCTGGCATGCGGTCTGTCTGCCCACGCGATGACGCCACCTGCGTGAGTACTGCCGACACGTGTGCTGCGTGCGCTGAGTCAGCTCCGGCTCCTGCGACCCTACTGAGTGCGCCCAGTGCCGACCCCCAGCCCCGCTCGGCGCCTGCAGACCCGCAGGGGCCTCTGTTCGGAGTCAGTCCCTCTCACGCTTGGTCTGCTCTTCTCCCGCCACCGCCTCCTCTTTTCCCAGCTCAGGGCCGCTCCGCTGCCGGCCGGCCGTGCGCCAGGCCTCGCTGGCTCTGGGACACATCCTCTAAGGAAGGGCATCCGCACGAGTGGGTCTCTTTGCTGGGGACGCTGTTCTGAACCCCTTGATAAATATATACTTTTGTCTAGTCGTGTATTTTTATCTAAAAGCTGCAGGAGAACCATCACTAGCACCTGAAACCCATTCATTCACTTTCCCTTAAAGTCTCTATTTATAGTTTACGAGTGAGTCTTTGTAGAAAGCAGTTGAGAGAAGAGTTGGCCAAACCCCCAGAGCAGGTGAGGGGACGATAAGGGAGGGAGCCGGTCACGGAGACGTGGGCCCTGCTCTGCCCCGTGGGACCGGGAGAGGCAGGGAGAGGGAGAGGGAGAGGGGGCCGGAAGCCATGCCGTGGTGGGTGCTCACCCCCACTCCTGGCGCCAGCAATGGGCCTGGAAGACTGAGGCCACCGGTGAGGAAGGAGAGGGGGCTGGGAGCTGAGAAAAGCCTGAGGCTCGGCCCTTGGCCCTCGGTGGCCCGCTCCTCCCTCCTCCCTCCTCCCTCCTCCCTCTGGTTTGTCTCAAACCACAGTGGTGCCAAAGACGGGAGACACGGGGAAATTAGGGATGATGCAAGAAAACCCATTCCCTTCCTCCCAGCCCAGGATCTGAACCGAGACACGGACGGAGTCACGTACCAGAGACGCTTGGGCAAAACCTGTCATCCCAAGAATCACCGCTATTTTAAGGTAGAAGCTATCCAAGGCCCGTTCCCGCGAGACTGAACTTGCAGGGAAGGTCCTGCGGCAGCACCAGGCCTGCCCGCCCGCCAGGAGCAGCCTGCAGCACCAGCTGCATCTGACAGCATCAGGTTACAGTGATGGGTGGGAAGAGGGAGACCTGGGTACCCCCAAGGGCAACGCTGGCGGCCACGGCAGGTCCCCCCTCCCCTTGCCCTGCCCTCCATACATGCTGGCGATTTCCCTGAATTCAGGTTTGAGGCAACAGAAAGGCTGCTTAGGGGAAAGGTGGGTATAGGGCCGAGTCCAGCGCCTCCATGCGGAGGGAAGGCCTAGAGGAGCAGAGCCGTGCCAGCTGGGCACCATGTGGGCACCATGAGCTCCGTGGCCTCGCAAACCCCTTCTTCCTCTCTAGGTGGCGGCTCCCTCCTGGAAGGTGCCCGCAGGGCTGAGCGGCTGGAGCCTGTGAAGCGCTTGTCACTGAGTCAGCTGCCTCCTCTGCCACCATCGTCACCACCACCAGTGCTGTCTGGGACACGCGGACACACGTGTTAAAGCTAATTTCTCCCTCTTTGGGTTTCGCCGGACTTCTGACCGCCCTCAGCCACCTTGGCCAAATGAATAAATGTTTGCGGGTGCCGTGGACGGGGGGAAAGGGGGGGGGCCTAGGCTAGGAGCTCCCGCCCTCCCTGGGCCTCGGCTCACCACCCCCCGAAAGCAATGCGGCGGGTGAGATTTGGGGGGGTGAGATTTGGGGGCCCAACCTCCTGGCAAAGCAGTTCACTGATTAGGTCTGCACACGCCAAAGTCAGAACAGCTCAAAGCTGGTCAAGCGTCTGTCTTCCTTCTCTGGGGCCACTCAGACACCCCCCTACTGCAGCCTCCCACACACTCCGAATTTCCCAAACTGCGTATTGCCGGAGACGGGGGTGGGCTGGCTGGAAAGGGGGGCTGCACGTGAAGGCTGGCTCCCCGAAGCCCAGGGCTGGCTCACGCTGGGCCCCAGCACACGCTCATCTGCGAGGCACGTGTGTCCTCCGAGAAGCGGACCCCAGGGCCTTCCTGTTGTGCAGGAGGGTGACGGGACTGCGCCCGCCCGCCGTAAAGGCCAGTCTAATATTTAACCAGCTTTTACCTCCGGGGCATCTTCCTTCCTGGAACCTGGTTCCAGCGGGTTCCCCAGTAGGGGACCACAGGATGCGTGATTCTGAGCTCTGCAACCTCAGGGTTCTGTGATGTTATTTACGTGGAGGGAAGAGAAGGAAGAAGTGGAGGAGGAGGAGGGGCCCAGGGGACCAGGACCCCAGCGAGGGCACAGCAGGTCCCCAATAAATACCCGCCAAATGGATATAGACCATCGCGACCTAAGAGGTGTTCAAAACGTGCCGGAGGGACTCTCACCCACGTGGTGAGTAATCTTGACCAGGAGAAGAAACGGAACTGGGCGGGTGGAATGGTCTCTGGCCGGCATGGTCACGGCCAGTGCACATCACCAACCGCTTGGGAGCCGATGTAAACTCCTGCGCCACAAGTAGGCTTGGCTACTTAGAACGCCGAGCCCTGGGAGAAGCAAACATCTCCTTGTGGCCGCTGTGAGCTGGCTCGGGCGACCCCGCCGTGGCAGCTGCTGCCCCGACTGCTCATGTCCTCCCCTGCCCAGGGGGTCAAACCAACCCAGGGTGAGGGTGAGATAAGGGTCCCAGGATGGGTTCGAGGATGGGTAAGGCTTCTGTTCACTGAAGCACAACTAGGTCTCAGCCAAGTGTCCTGCACATAGTAGTCTCATTAAGGGTGGACTGGGTGACGGACAGATCTGAAGGACCACGTACTGTAGTTGCATTAGAAAAGGCAAAATAGCAGAGAATTCCACTTCTTACATTACACATTTCTGTCATTTTTAAGCCACAAGTATGTATACTATTTTCAATGGCCAAGAAAACCATAAGAAAATAAAAAACAGATCTTCTGTTAAGAAAATACTGTTACCCTACAATGTCCCACCCATTTCTGCCTGAGATGCAGAAGCCCTATGCGAGGGTTTGTCCCCATCCTGCCCACTTCTCCAAGGAACTCCTGGCACCCCCCATCCCCGGGAGGGCCACCCCTCACTCTCCAGTTCCCCGTGGAAAACAGCAGAGAGGAAACTGCCCAGAAGTCCAACGTTGAGACTGGTGACATGAAATTAACCCTTCACCCTTAGTCTCTGATGGAATTTTCACACAGTCATTTTTTTTTAAAGAATCATTTCTGAGTAATATCTACTGACATGGGAAATGCTCATGAAATAATGTTCACTGGAAAGAAGCAGAACCCCCCCAATTAGGTGTACGATGCCTAATTTTATGAAAAACATTTAGACCTAGAAGACAAAGAAGAGATAGAAGAAAATGTTAACAGTGATTAGAATCATGGGTGGTTTTCCCGCCCACGCCCCCCCCTCTGCATTGTCAACATCACCCACACTGTCGACAATGAGTAGCTCTGATTTTTATAAGAAAAACTGTTTTTGAGCGACTGGGGGTACTAAGCATAAGAAAAGATGTTCAACTTCACTTGGAATAAAAGAACCGCAGAATAAAACCAAGATGTGGCATAAATTTTCACCTAGTGCTTGGCAGTGTGTTTGTCTATATATATATGTATTTGTAATATATTTTGTTGATTTCAAAGAGGAAGGGAGAGGGAGATAGAAACATCAGTGATGAGAGAGAATCATTGATCGGCTGCCTCCTGCACACCCCCTACTGGGGACCGAGCCTGCAACCCGGGCATGTGCCCTGACCTGGAACCGAGCCATGACCTCCTGGTTTCTAGGTCGATGCTCAACCACCGAGCCACGCCGGCCGGGCAGCATTTCTTACCATTTGATTTCATCCTTTGTTTTGCTCACATGTACAAAGGCAAATGAGGGGTCTGTTCACAGGAGAAAGAGTGAGAACAGCCTATATGCCCGTCACAGGGAACCAGCGGGGAAGTTAAGGGTCCTCCTCCCCTCAGCAGAGCGATGACAGATTTGGACGGGCCCTCGACCAGTCGATGTGCAACAACCGCTGCGGTTGTGACAACAGGCCCTGCACAGACAGTGGGCAAAGGGCCGTCCTTTGGGGGTGAGCCGGACGAAGCTCAGCGCATGCGATCGTAAGCAGAACTGGGCGGGGCCCGGAGCTCGGCGGGGCCGGGAGACTGGCTGTTCACGGAACATCCTCCTCTAACCTTGTGATCCTGAGCCGTCACATGTGTAACTTTCCCACAATGAGAAATCAAATCAACGAGTAAAGTAGAACAGGCCTAGGGGGTCAGGAAGGCAGGGGCCTCCGCCCCCGAATGCCCCCCTCCCCATCCCCGTGTGCAGAGGAGGGCCGGGCTCAGGCCCAGCAGTACTTGCCTGAGGCAGCGGTCCACGTCGTGGTCATCCCGGCAATACTGCGGGCCTCCGTGCCTCAGGGCATCCTCGGGGTTGGCGAAAGCCTGAAATACACCACCTGAGAATTACTGTTCGCCCGACGGACGGCCCGGTCGCCTGGGCCTTCGGCAGCCCCGTCACCTCCATGTCCATTCCCCAGCATCCATGAACTCCTACTATGTGCGAAGTGCTGGGGACTCCCCGGGAACAAGGTGGCCATGGCCTGAACGTTTGTGTCCCTGGAAATTCAAATGTGGAAACGTAACCCCCAAGGTGATGGCATTTGGAGGTGGGGCCCCTCCTGCCATGTGAGGACACAGAGGGGGATGGCCACCGAGGATCCAAAAGCAGGCCCTCGCCAGACTCAGCTCTGCCAGCGCCTGGCCCTGGGGCCTCCAGCCTCCAGAACGGTGAGAAATCCAGTTCTGTTGTTTATAAGCTGCCTGGCTGATAGCAGCTTATGATAAACTACGGCAAAGGCTCTCCTGTCCCTGCTCTTGAGAAGCTCACAGTCAGATAAACCAGGAAGGACCAGGTGGTGTGTGTTAAGAAAGAGAAGACAAGGTTGGACACAAGGTTGGCCTTGAGAATCTTCACAGGAGATCCGAGTCTGAGAATCCAAGAAGTCAAGGTGTCCACAGGCCGATGCCTCCTGGGAGCCCTGGGAAGCCGAGGTTTCCCAGTCCCTCAGCTGCTGGAGGAGCCTGCAGGCTCTGGCCCCCCTGCCTCCTCTGCGGCTGGAGGTCTGCCCCCCCTCTGGCCTCCCCTCCTGTCTTTCCTCCCTCTAATGTGTCTCCACAGGACATCCAAACCTGTAGAGAGTTTTTGTAGGTTGATTTGAGCCAAACTGTTGACACCTGCCAGGGAACAAGATCTCCAGTGCTCTCGGGAGAATAACAGTTCTGCTGCTGCTTTGATGCATTTGAAATTAAGCAGAAACGTAAGGAAGGTGAAATGAAGGTGGGAGAAAGCCAGGTGGGGATGATCAGAGGAGAGTTAACGAGGGTATGTGCTCTCTGAGGTGGTTACTGTTTATCTCTAAGGTGTGGACAGGGCTTGTTTGAGGCCAAAGAAATATTTTACTAAAAGGTTACATGCCTGGGGAGTTAGGATCAGATCACCCTGTGAGGTTTCTTTCCATAGAACCCCCCCCCCCCCGCTTTTTTTTTGTTTGCAAATTCTACTGCTGCTCTAGTAAGAGGACGAAGGGGTGGGGGGCGGACACACTTCCCAGTAAGACTCCTCCACTGAGGAGCCCGGGAGGGTGAGCAGCAGGTGCCCCAGCCTCTCCTTCTAACCAGGCGGCTGGCGGGCTGCCGGCAGTCCAGTGTGAGCAGCGACCCACTCGCCCGGCGGACCAGAGCGACGCTGCTTTCCTGTCTGGCTCAGGACAGGACAGGACAGGACAGGACAGGACAGGAGGAGGAATTCCTCCCGAAAACTCCGAGGGAGCCCAGCTGAGCGCCCGCCTGGCCGCAGTCCCCGTGGCGGTTTGTAAGCGACCTGGCCGGCGAGCTGGGAATTTCCACGGAAAGCTCCCGGGTCCTATTTCGCCGGCTCCCACCCCACCCCACCCCAATCTCAGATCTGCCCGGGGAGCCGCCAGGTCGGGGGAGC